GACTCATGCCGCACGTTGAAACTTCAACTACGAGTACTTTAATTCAAACAAATTGTATTAAATCATATATATAACTTTTATGATTTCATTCAATTATAAAATCGGATAGATAATTCAAATTCAATTAAAAAAATCATATGAATAATGTGTTGCATTACTTTTTCTCAAATGACCCATATATTAAACTCAATCAAACCAACACAATGAATAATTCAAATTCTAAAAATTAAATAAATTCAAGCATAATAACAACATTAACAACTTATATATTTCATAACATTAAATACAAACAAAATAATCCAAAAAATAGCAATTTCGAACAAAATTTTTAAAAAACCTAGGTTTAGCAAAATGGTGAAATACCTCGAATAAAACGGTTAAAAGTCGGTAGAATTGAGCACAAACGGCCTCGGGTGCACTGTATCGCTTTTCCCTTTGATTTGACCTTCATTAAGACGTTGGTCGGCCGGAAAGTTGTCTGGAATCGCCCTATCTCACGCAGCAGTCGCAAGGGAATTTCCCGCTGTTTTGGAGATCATCGTTTGCGTCTGGGAAGAAGGGGGGTTTATTGATTAATGAGCCGCCACTTGAAGTGGCGGCTTTTGTGTTGTATAGAAGAACCGTCATTTCAAGTGGCGACTTTTGTACAACAAGTGGAAAACCGCCACTTCAAGTGGTGACTTTCCTTAACCATGGTTAACCAGGCAGTATTTTGGGAATTATTTTTAGCCCAACAGTATTTCGGGAATTATTTATTTAATTAGCATTATTTTGGGGGAAAACTCTAATGTCATTGCGCCATACCTTTTGTGCTGCACATTTCGATTTCATGTAATATACATTTCAATGTTAAGTTTTATCTAATGCACATTCAACTTCACAGAATACAATCTAACGGGTCCAGATTTATTCACATTTCTCTTCCAATATAATTTTCTCATTTGAACCTAATTCTATATATATATATATATATATATATATATATATATATATAGAGAGAGAGAGAGAGAGAGAGAGAGAGAGAGAGAGAGAGCTTCCAAGACAGAAATGAGAAAGAATCTGCACTATTGGATTGTATTATGTGAGATTGAATTGTGCATTTGGTGAAACTAAAATGTGCATTAGGTGAAATTGAACTGTGCAGAATAAAAGGTAAACTCAAATGTGCATTGCGTGAAATCAAAATGTGCAGAATAAAAGACACAAAAATGCCACTACATCGTATCTTTTTTCTCCACATTTCAGTTTCACCTAATTTCAGTTTCACCTGATACGCAATTCAACTTCACATAATGTCATTGTGTTGTACTTTTTGTGATGCACATTTTGATTTACCTAATGCATATTTCAGTTTCACCTATAATGCACATTCAATTTCATAGAAAACAATCTAATATTATAGATCCATTCTTATTTCTCTTCTATGATCATTTTCTCATTTGAACCTCACTCTATGTGTGTGTGTATGGCACGGTTCAAATAAATAGTGGTCTCCCCGTGCAAAATGCGAATGCATGTACTTATTGTCATGCATGGTGCACGTTTTGCTGCAAATGATTCAATTTTAGAAATGAAAGAAAATTTTGACTTTATTACGAATATGCAGGCTGATTTTGATCAATTTTAATGCATTGATGATAAACTTTGAGTCACTTGAATGCATCAGATCTATTCTTACTTTTCACGGGAATTGCACTTTTTATTTGTGTTGGTCCTGGTTGTACAAGGAATAGTCTAGATGGGGGGGGGGGGGGGGAATAGACTGTTCTTGTTTTGAAAATTCTTTCTGAAAACACTAAGTGTCACAGAGTTAGTCAAGTTCAACAGAACTGACCAATAACGGATGGTATTCTTGTCGGGTAGTCTAACAGAAAAGCTAAGGCAGATTTGCCTTTCTATTTATCTTTTAGGACAAGATTCGCTGAACACGAAGTCCAAGTCCTTAAGATAGAATCAGTTAATTCCTAAGAGCAAGTATTAAATGCAGTAAGTAAATAACACCATGGATTTTTATAGTGGTTCAAAGAACAACTTGTTCCTCTAATCCACCCTTCCACTAAGCTTATAAGAGATCAAAATAGAACACTTAATACTAGCACTTAAGAAGCACTCCACGCCTTCTTCAAGTCTAGTTGTCACCCGAGATGCTTTTCCTAACTTCCTTATGACTGGCCCTTTTCACTAAGCTTTACTTGAAGTATCACCACTTCACTCCAGTTACTTGAGGCGCCCTTCTTAAACAAGAAGAGTTCTTTGAGATATTAAAAGAGGTTTCTCCAACGTTCTTCGTGACAGTTATATAGATGAAGCTTTCAAAGAGTTGAAGTACTGGAGGATGCTTTTTGTTGGAATAAGGATATGAGTGATTTTCTATCCAACTTTAAGTTTAATCTCTTGTGATGAATATGGAGAAGATGAGATCTTAAGAGATTGTAGAACGTAGAAAGTTATTCGTTATTTTTCTTGTTCGTATCTTACCAGTCCTTCGAGTTGTATCTAAATATACTGAGAGATGTCTTCCCGTTAGAGTGTAGAGGACATCTTCATTAAATGCATACACGGTTGATTTGACCAGTTGGTTCTTCCAAAGTAGCATTCTTACTATCTTGGGAAGAATTAAACATTATTCTCCTCGATTCTTTGGTCAATCATGTGTTATAAATATCTCAACGTGTGGAAGCCATTAAATGAGCATTTAATGCGTGAATAATATCACTTCCATTGAGAGGCTCCTAGCCGTTAGGGAATAACCTGTTAGTTTAACAGCTTCCTCATAATCTTCTAAGTGTCTGTTGTTCTGAGAGCAGTTCTGTTGCAAAACAAGAGGCTGAGGGGTTCTGTTGGAGTTACTGTCTTCTAAGCAGTTCTGTCCGAGAGGCAAGGCAGAAGAGCTAGGCAGTTATGTCCATCGAATACCCTTAGTACATACATAAACAATTTTCTAAGACAAATTTTCTAAGGGGTACTCTAATGTCCTAATTAAGCTAGCATCATCAAAATCGATAAACAATATATCCTTACAATTTGAACTAATCCACACACACACACACACACACACACACACACACACACACATATATATATATATATATATATATATATTTATGTGTGTGTGTATATGTGTGTGTGTGTTGTGTGTGTATTGATGGTCCCTAGTAGCGGTAAAAGTCTAGAGAGGGGGGGGGGGGGGGGGTGAATAGACTTTAAAAGTTTTTTTCTTTTCAATGTCTTTCTCTCTTTTGTAGTTTCTTCTAAACCTTCTGAAACGTTATAAAATGCACAGCAGAAGTCTTGACCTCTTTTATCAACCAGGTTACACATTTTCTATTTATAGAAAGAATGACTTTTTATTTATGGTAAGATGACCAAGGAGTGTTTCAAGAACTCTTTTGTGACTTTTGTTTGAGTGAGAGTCTATTTGAGGTTTGTGGAAAGTTGGAAGGTACAACAAACCATTGAATAGATATCAGCTGACTGGACAACGAGTTGAACGACAGGGTTACCAGTCTCATCCTCGAGTTCATGGATTTCCACTAAGTCATTCTACCCAATACATTTAGTGCCCAATCTACCCTTGATCACAGGACTAAATTACCAGGTTTTCATAAGGAGTACAATACCACTCCAAGTTACTCTATCCTTTCGGTGTTTTACTAATGAACCGGAGTGATTAAAAAACTATTCATTCCTAATCTACCCACACTTGGATTTGATCACAAACCCTCCAAAGGTGTTACAACAGTTTGATTTATAAAGAAAAATTTCCTGCTATGTTAAGGTCCAATGATATATCTGTGAATGAACTAGTCTAAGAGCTTAGAGAAGTGTGAGTGAGCTTAGAGTGAAGTCATAAATTAGGAATTTTCTCTTTTCTTAATCTTCGTATTAGCTGGTGTTGTATGCTCTAGATCTCTACTTATATTCCTTCACACTTCTTCTGTATTTATAGACATCTGGTGTTGAATATGTTGGTTGAGGAGATTCAGTCTTTTCCGTTGAATGGAACCACTTGATTGAAAGACTAGACATGCTCCTTTTTGTCTTGACTAAACTTGAAATTGTGTCCTTTGTGATCACATGTGAGTCAATGCGATAATTGCATATATCAAGGAGTGTGGACCGTATTTGAATTATTTACGTCGTATTGGTTAAATGATTCACATACAATTTCTTCAGGCGCCATTTAATGCCTCTGTAGTACATGGGTACCAAAGAAAATAATGCATATTTCTTTTACTCACAATAATACTGAAGTCTTTCAAAAATAATATGTAAAGGCCGAACACATGGTTGTGATGAGTAACAATTATTTACCGAGCCTTGGTTTACATTTTACTGTCTTTAGTTTATTGTTGGTCCCATGTAATTTGCACTTCTGATTTTGACTCTCCTACTATAGACAAATTAATAGACATCAACTTTGTGTTGATTAACAGGCTCAAATTCCATGTTTAAACTAGCAGCCTGTTGATGCCTTATCAGTTGGGTTTTCTGCAGTGTAACAACATGCTGCTGTTTTGACACCTAACAACAATGTACTGTTAAGTTTGAAATGAAGGATTTAGTTGACAAATTTTCGTAGTCTTTTTGTTTTTCTTTTATTTTCTTTGGTACGTTCGTTTCTCTTTTAGTACTCTTGTTTTTATTTTTCTTTTTGCATGAGTACGTTTCTTTTAAAAACTAAAAGCAGCAAAATTACAAAGTAAAATGATCAAGTTTATAGTCTTATACATGTGAATCATTAAAATCTAGAGGGTCCTAACAATTTCCAAAACCAACTAGAAATAAACCATTGCCACAAGGAAATTAGATTTTGGCATTCCTAATTTCAGTTTCATGTTTAATCTTTTCCATCATTTGTTAAAGAGGAGCATCTGATGGCATGCTAGGTGCCAGTGGTGGCATACTTGTATATTTGAAACTTAAAGTAAGTCTAATTACACAATATTGATACACTACATACTTGTGAAATACTACAACAATTTTGGTTTTGTGTGTAGATATGATGTTGCAATGAGGATTAACACACTGGGAGCTATGAATGTCCTCAACTTTGCGAAGAATTGTTTGAAAGTAAACACTCTTGTCCATGTTTCCACTGGTGCGTACGTTTCGATTTTCAATCTATTTCTTTTATTCTAAAAAATATATGAATACATTTCTTTATTCTACTACTATCATATATAGATGCATGTATTGTTTTATGATATGATACAACATTATAATTAAGCGCAACTAATAAGATGACATGTACATAACTACACATACTACATATTATATAGATGTGGATGCATTGAGTAACTTATCAATCAATGCATGCATACGTTACTTATGCGTGCACTCATGCATGCACAAGATAGAAACATAGTACATGTAGATAGTGACCTTAAAGCATGTTAATTAATTAAATAATAAAATCGCATGCATGCAGCATATGTTTGTGGTGAGGGGAGTGGAATTGTACTCGAAAAGCCATTGGTTCTAGGTGAGTCACTGAATGGAAGTCGTGATTTGGACATAGATGAAGAGAAACGCATAATAGCAGAGAAGTAAATGCAACTTCACTCCCACAATGCAACAGAAAAAGAGGTGAAATCTGCTATGAAAGACTTGGGCATTCAAAGGTATGTGAGATTGGCCTGTCTTACAAGACATGCATCCATCTCCTAGCTAGTTGACGCACCCACATCGATTCTAATGAAAGTTTCTTTTAAAATATAATGAACACTCGATCATTTAATTTATAAATGACAAGTGACAACATGTATTTTAAAAGAGGATAAGAGGATTCTCATTAAATATAATCCAATCCTCCCCGACCTATATATATTACGTACTTATGAAAAACTGTATGTGTATATATGTATATGTGTGTGTGTACAGGGCAAAGCTGCATGGATGGCCGAACACATACTCTTTCACAAAGGCCATGGGGGAAATGTTGGTATTGGCCTTTGCAGACAATCTATGCGCTATTATCTTACGTCCAACAATAATAACTAGCACCTATAAAGAACCGTTTCCTGGCTGGATTGAGGGTGCTAGGTAATACATATTGTCAAACTTCATCTCCATCTGATCGTGCACATCCTATATATAAGTTTGTGTATTTGTATTTATAATATATATTCTATTGTTCTACTTTTAGCTTTATTATTGTAGTCATGTTTTTATGGTTTTTGTACAGAACCATGGATATCTTTGTACTAATGTATGGCAAAGGAAAATCAAATTTCATGATTGGCGATCCAGACTCTATACTTGATGTGGTAAGTATGCACATTTAAATTACTTAAACATAAATATATAATTCGATCAGTAGGACAATGCATGTTACTCTCTAGGGTATGTTGCGCTTCTCCAATGGACTTGTTCTTTTGGATTTATTTTAATTTCACAATAGATTTCTTTTGGACTTATTCTAGTCTTACAAGAGATCAAACTAATTACGTTTAAACAAGCATACATCAAGCTTAAATAATCCAGAACATAACTAAGCGAACCAAATCAAATAAGAATAGACAAATTCAGATCATATTAGATCACACCATGTCAAACCAGAAAATAAGCCATTGACACATCAAATTTGAACATATAACATTAAATCAGATCAGACCAATTCCACCATATCAAATCAGACAAAACTAAACTAGACATGACCTCACTTATACAAACAAGATCATAATAGACTAGATCACAGGGGACAATAGCATCATGTTATGATATGATATGATATGATATGATATGATATGATATGATATGATATGATATGATATGATATGATATGATATGATATGATATGATATGATATGATATGATATGATATGATATGATATGATATGACATGATATGACATGACATGACATGACATGACATGACATGACATGTTATCCCTCAAAGGAACACATTTACAATGGTTTCAGCAATTGAGAGGTGACATTAATAAATTTGAAAAGACAGGGACTATATTTCAATGAGTATTATTTGATGGGCTGAAATTGTTAATTTGGTTTTAAGGCTTGTTAATTTGGTTTTAAGGCTTTCTAGTTGTGTCTGATCTATACATGTCTTGTCTGGTATGTTTGCTTAAGTAAAATTTCTCATGCACCCTTAATTTTTTAGAAACTTCATAGTCATCGGGATAGAGTAAAGTCTCCAACTCCTTCCCCACAAAACCCTTCATCCAACCAAATCATTCCCTAAATGAGATATATAATGACCTTTACGGAAGTTCAGTGAAAAGAAATACAAAACTTCAAAACTGCAAAAGAAGCTTTTAATTCGAAGAACCATGCAAAAAGAAGCTTTTAATTCGAAGTACCATGCAAAAAAAACATGTTTGTTTAAGTATGATTTAGTTTGTTCTAGATTTGCTTAAAATTTTGTGTATTTTTTATAACTATCAAATGGATGTCTTTTCAATCATAGTCGATCTGGTACAGGTAAGTTGATTCCATATCATCTTGTCCAGTTAGATTCTCTTTTGTTAAATCTAATGTGGTCTGTTGTGCTATTATCTAAATTCTATGAATCTCGTAATATGTTCACTAGTAAACATGTTACATATTAATTATAAAGTTTTTATTTTGCAGAATATTAATGACATAGTTATACAAATACAAACAATATATTCTTAAACTTATTCATCTAAGATTCTTTCAAGTTTTTTTCTATTCTTTGATCTAAGAATGATAAAATATTTATTGTTACTTGTATATTATTTTAGTTTATCATTATAACTTAAAAGAAAGTTAGCATTTTGATATTTTCATAACTTTGATACGAGTACTATGTATTATACCAACGTGAATCAATCAAACAAGACTATCATTATTGATTAAATTAAATTAGACCATATTTAAATAAACTAGACTAGTTTAAACAAGTCCAAATAAGAAAATACCAAGCTACACTAGTCAAGATCATACTACACTACATAACACTACACAAATACAATAGAACCCGCATGGGTAGCTCAACTGGTAAAGCGTTGAGAAAGCTGGGGAAATGGTCAAGATAAAAACCCGCAACAACCGTGTGGAGGTCACAGCTCCTATGTGCTGGACTGAGCTTCGTGTGCGCACGGGTATAACATCTACCACCATTAGGATTGATAGAGCCACCGTGATTTACAACCTTCCACATATTCTGTCAGGGGCGTGGGGGCCCTTGGGTTGCGGAGTCTAACCTTTTATTGGAGAAACTCAAATAAAATAGAGTATAAATTTGAAATAAGTGGGTGAGTGCATTATTAACGAAAAGTAAAATTATATTGTTGGTTCAAACTTTAGAAACAACAAAAATTGAGAAACAACTTAGAGTACAAAGAGTGCCAGCTGGGCCAATCAAAATCGGACACTTGGAATATGTTTAGAAAACGCTTATAAAATTAAGCTGAAAACACTTCAATGCTTAAGATATGGAGTTTTTTCATAACTTGGTGGAGGAAACAAAATGTAAAATCAGCTATGTTTGATTATTGTACTCTTTTGTTTTTGCCCAAGGCATTGTGACTCGGCTAGAGACCAGCTGAATAACTAAAAATATTGACCCAGTATAAAGGTTGTAACACCACCATATGAATACAAACCTCGACCTATAATGAATGCGCGCACTATAATAAGATTGATGTACCCAGAAACTCAATACTACTTCCCGTCCCATCAATTTCTTTCATGTTGGATTTGGATCATATTTAAAGTGAAAATGTAGTGTTGTGGTTAAGTAAAAAAAATGTAAATGAATTTTAGTCACACAAAACTTTTCATAAAGGGAAATGAGATGAATATTTTGGGACATACCAAAATACAGTAAGTGAATGGTTTTTTATGAAAATGAGGAAGTATGATTTTAGATGGTCAAATATGTATACTTTTAAAAAGTGAAATGGAATTTATAGTATAGGATTTTCAACTAAGATATGATTAACATTTTTAATTACAATTAAATAGGCATTATGCGGAATAAGCATGTCTGTACTCTGTACCATTATCTAGACAACATTCTTAAGCTTCCATACGATAAATATTAGTTGGTATTTTGAAGAAAAAACCAATACCTATATAATTAAGGGGTTAAAAGTACATTTTTGATAGTGCAGGGGTCTGAGTGAAATACATCAAACCTCAAGATGGCCGGGTCAATGATAATTTAACTCACAATATACTCTTTATCTATTAGAGTCAGGGCAGAGGTATAAGAGGTCAACCAAGCCTCCAACCATCCCAATTTTGAAAATTATTTGTATTTTTTAATGTAAAATTTATCTAAAAAAATCTTTCTGCCAGTTTACACTGACTTTTGCTTCTTGTTATGCCTTTGATTAGAGTTTCTCTAATTTTAAATATTTTAGGAATAATATCATCACATGCATCGCACGGGTACTATACCAATTGTTTTTTGGAAAGAAACTACTTATATTAAGATCAAAACAGTCGCAGTAACACCCAAGTCACAAGATCTAAACTTCCCTCTATCCAACCCATACCAAAAGCCCTTCGGTCCCCTCACGTCATGATGAGACATAGAATAGTCCACCCCGTGAAGAGTGAGACTATTCGTTGAAACAGTGAGAGCATAGAGGCGATTAACGGCTGAATCAGCCTGATTGCCTCCAACAACTTTCCTACCAACAATCAACAACCAAAACAAATACCAACCCCCCTTATTGTGCAAAACAAAAACAACAAGCAAATTGAGTCTCAAGTAAAAAACGCAATAGAAATAAAAAGGCATCGGATGGAAGTCCCTGGTTTCCATCCTTGTTGGATCCTCCTGCCTAATCTTCAAATGCATATCAGGCGGGCATTATAGCCCGTCGTCTCTATCTCCATGCTCGCTTGCAGAGAGTCTTACTCTCCTTGATCAACCCTTCTACGCTTCTGCTCAATCTTCTCTCCTGTAACATGATATTCTTGCTCCTTATGTGGAGCTCTGTGACCATCCACACCCGAGCATTATTGCTGCCTTCACCTTCCTTCTATTTTCCTTTACCCACTGAAACTAACCATTTATTCCCGCTAGACAATACTCTCCCCTTTGATGCTCCCAGTTCCGGTCCAAACGGTAGGTCTCCCTCCTTCCCCATCCTGTTGGGGTAGCGTGGGCAGTACCTTTCTTGCGTGCGCAATAATACCACATGCAAAATAGAAACTAGGGAGTTTCTCATATTTAAACCTGACACAAAAGTTTTCCCCTTCATCTGTGTGCAAATAGCTTCTGTTTCAGGGGCCTGGTCAGATCGATGCTAACTCTTATTCTCATGAATGGATTCCATTTGACAAAAAAATTACATTCACCCACTTTAATGAACATTCCCACAAAATTACCAATTTTTATTACATTTTTAATAGAGAAATATCCAACCCGAACATCATGAATCTGCAACCAGAAGTCAGCCATGTTCAAGATATTTGCCATGGTATCACGAAAAAAAGGAGAAGCGTACCAATTTTTCAGAAGTGATTGTCCCTACCAACGACCAGCCGACTTCGTCACTGTCAGGTGCCATAGCCTCTACCAGTAAGAATTCATCCTCATCTTCCATCTCCATATTTCCATACACACTAGCCAACCTCTCGATCTCCCGTTGTTCATTGATATCTGCCATCAGTCCTTTCTCAAAGGGTATTGTACTGTTGCCGCCGATTGTCCTGGTCCTGCGCTGCCTGCTTGTTCCGTCGCCACCCTCCACTGCAGCCGATGTCACGATTGTGTTCCTCTCTATACTCGCCGATGTCAGCTGCATATCCTTAGCTATCCAAAAACCTGTCGAAGTCCTCCCGCAATGAAACCACTGAAGTCCTCACGCAAGAAACGCCTAATCCTCACGCAACCCTAGAAGCTCTAGGTGCAGCCGTCCGCACTATACTAATTGTTTTAACATAGTGGTTTAGTTGTTTATATAATTTTAGTAGTATTATTTTATAATAACTAATTGACATTCTTTTTCACTTTATGTGTATGCGATATGATTAACAATATATATGTTTAAAATATTCGAAACAATTTCATATTAAAATATCGATCATTATTCATGTTTAAATTAATTATTTAAACATACTACTCCATCCATTTCTGATCCATTTAGTAGTAATCGATGAGTAATGAATGGTATGCACAGATTCCTGTTGATATGGTGGTGAACTCAATGCTGGCAGCGGTGGTGCACCATGATCATAATCGGCGAGAGCGGTCATCGCCGTCGTCTTTTATTTATCACATTGGCTCCTCCGATAGTAATGTATGCAGACCTTTGAAACTTTGCGATGTTATAAGTATGATGTATCGTTACTTCACCAACAACCCATGGACTTCAATGAGAGGAGAGGTTGTCAAAGTTCGCGAATATGTATTGCTGCCCAGCATCACAAGCTTACGCCGATACATCACAATTCATTATCTTCCCCTATTGCAGGTATATATGTTCATTCCTTAGCTTGCCCCTTTATCCATCATTTATTTCACCCCTATATAAGGACATAAATGATAATAATTTTGGAGCATTGGATATGGGTATTGTGCAGTACGTGAAACAAAATGGTGGTCTTCTGCTATTATGAAATCGTCACATAAGGTCACAATAAAGTGTTATATAAATGCGTCTACTTATAAAAAGCAACCGGATGAGTCCTAACGACCTGTTGACAGTCTCATAATCCCGGTTTTAACGTACGTCTAGCCATCTTTTTAAAATAAATTATAAGGCTGATGTTTTTAATATTGTGTTTTTAGTATATATAAAATGCGCAATTCTTTTCAATAATTTATTTAACTGACTTCCCGATTGAATGTATAACCTACATTTTGTGAACATAATCTACACTTCATGAAGAACATTATGACAAATTTTATAAAATCATTCCACCGGAAACAACCTCAAACGGCACATTCCAGACAACGGTTCCGGTCAGGCATAATGTTTTCAATAATTTATTTAATGGTATTCTTGATTGAGTTTTATGCTAAAATTTTGTAGACATATTCTACTTCATGAAGTACATGCTCACATAATTTCATCAAAAAAATTCACCCATATGAACCTCAGAAAGAGGCGATTGGACGAATTTCTGCCAGTCTTTCTTGATCGTAAGATTACTATATATATAGGGGAGATAACATACAAACTCCATTTCCGGTGTAAACTACAAAGTAATATGCATTGTTTATTTGTATTAAACGGATGAATATTCGTATAACATCCATGATAAGGAAAATGGGTTGACCTACAACCAATTAATTCCTAAGACCCACTACCGTATAAAATTCAGGTTGCTACGTTGTTAAGGTAATCTTAAAGCCCATTTTTTCTGAACTTTATGTCAACTTCCCACTAAATCTGTAGTCGTAAATTGCAAAATAATTTCCCTTGGTTATTAATAATTAATGATAGCATTTACGAAAATTAATCTCTTGATTCACAAAATCAACCGCTCCATAATAACATACCATTTTCGAAACCAAGCTTCCATTTTCGAATGAAGAAGTAAATATTTCAGCACAAGTAGAAGTTTTAATATACATTATAGAATATGGATTATATGACACTATATTAAGATTATGAGATGTGAATCATATATTCGTAAGGTCTACATAAATTAGTTAGAAGTTCATATTGATAAAATATGTCGATGATGCGTTTTAGAAGTTGCATATTAGTAAGATGACATGTGCACTTTAGAAGTACATATGATGCATCTTACCATTATTGCATTTGCATCTTATACTCAATTAACATGGATACGAGAAGTCCACATACGTGCGAACTTCATATTAAGATTATGAGATGTGCATTGTATAATTATAACGTCTGTGTATGATAAAATTTGTAAAATAAATTCCGCGAAATCAGTCACGTGATATGATCATTATCTATATAATGGTTGTCATATTGAGTCCTATATTTTGTTTCTAGATCCTGCACAAAATTGGGCCGACCTGCCTGGCCTGCCCAGCCCGCCCGCACAAATGGCGGGCTTGGGCATTTATATTTACCCACCGGGACGGGCCTAGCTCGGCCCGCGACATTTAGTATATATACATATATATATATATATTATATATATATACTAATTTATTTATTTATTTATATGTACACATGTATATTTATATTTACTAATTTATCTTTATACATATTTATAGTTTATTATGTTTACATTTAAGTTTTTAGTTCTTAACAACTAGCCCAACCAATATAACATCTATTTTTGTACTTAAAAATAATATGTTGTGCTTGAATTTTAAATTTTAGATTTATTTTTTCATTATTATATTTGTGTAAGTATTTTTTGTGTATGTGGTGAAAGGCCTATAAACATTATAAGCGTATTAGCAATTTTTTAAATGTCATAATATTATTTATAAAGTATTAAAAATGTTATATAATTTCAAAAAATTTAAAGTTTTCTCGGGCCGGGCGGCCCGGTGGACTACTCGGCCCGCTCTTACGGGCGGGTATGGACATGGGGTTAGGCCTGTTTTGTGGGCCGGGCCGCCCACACATGATGGGCTGAAAATTTATAAAAAGTGCGGCCCGAGCCTGGCCCGAACCTGTTTTTGTGCAGGTTTATTTCTTTCCTATCTTAAATCATATTTTCCTGAGTAAGATTAATTGTTAATATTACTATTATATTTTAAACATATTCAGCTCATTTTTTATTATTCTTTCTTTATTCGTGCTTTAATTTTTTACTAATCTAATTATGCACTTTCCGGATCGTTATAGAATTATGCATATTTGGGATCAATATTGGAAGAACACTGATAATAGGGATTATTCATGTGAATTTGTTCTTTAATATATTAACTTTGTATATTAACACATGTGATTATCATGCATATAAGTATGATAATATCCTTTTACAATTTTAATTATACACACTTGTGCAATACATGTGATTATCATGCAATTGAGTTAAGGTACTCACACTAATAAAAGTGAAATACATGGAGTAAATAAATATCATCAATATATATAATTTATTTGAGAATATATATGAAATAATTATTAAATGTTTCATTTCCATTGGTTTGAAAATTGTTCTACCTAAATCGACTACCGTGCAAATTTTTAAAAGCTATGGTCTATGTGCAATATAAAAAGCGCACCTATTTATATATTTAAATAGCGTGTAAAATTGAAGTGTGGTACCTATCGTATAATGCGGGTGAAATGCATTAGTGGTACTTAACTGTTGGTATTATTGCGATTTGGTACATTGACTCTTAAATGAATCAAAACAGTACCATAATTATACATAAATGTTTCAATTGACAATATTATTCAAATTTGCAACCAAAAAAATCATAAATGACGGCCGAAATTCTATGCGTAAAATTATCTTCACCTTACATGCCATCATTGTAGGGTCGACTCTACACATGGAATTTTGATTGCCATGTAGGATTTTTTGGCTGCAAAGTTGAATAACATTGTGAATTGAAACCTTTATGTATAATGATGGTACTGATGTGATTCATTTAAGATTTAAGGTACCAAAAGACAACAATACCAATGGTTAAGGTATCTTTTATGTGTTTGACCATGTATAATGTATTGTGGATTGTATGAAAGTGCACAAAAGTGCAGAATGTTCATTGTGTAATTAATGCAGTGTGGAGTGTATAAAAAAGTAAAACTACACCTAATAAAACTTTTAAAATACAATATAGAGTATGGCAGTGTGCTATTTATATTACGGAGTATGATACATTAAAAGTATTTTCTCTGCTTGCTTGTATTTTGAGGAGGTAAGCCTTTGGATTCTTGTATTTTGAGAAGGTAAGCCTCCTCTAGAGAGATTTTGGCGTTGTCTCCCTCTCTATTTTGTACTTCTATTGTTTTTCTAATAATATTCGGTAAATGTTCCTTGACATTTGCCCCACCAATAGGTGGTTTATCTATCCGGTTCAAAAAAATATGATACATTAAAAGTGAAAATAAGTGAAAGGCGGTGCGTAATGTTTCAAGTATAATTATACAGACATAAATATTAAAATTCTATAATGTATGCAAAATTGCGTACATATTAGAATAAACATCCTGCACTTTAATTTATCTATTTTTTTCTTTAAATTTTTCAAAACTGCCACTAGTACAAAAAGGCCTTTCTAGATCATGCTTTCTACATGTGTTATTCTATAACCCATGTGGAATAGTGACACGGGTCATTTTTGCAATTTTTATAACTTATTTCACATCGGTTACATGAAGAACCGATGTCAATTAGAAAACGGGGTATATTTTATAATTTTATAAAGTATTCTACATAGGTTACGAAATTACCCGATGTAAAAAAAAGGATACGGTTTTTACATAACACTTATCACATCTGTTATGAACGATGTAGAAGTTGCCCAAAGAAAATAAGAATAGTTATTTCAGATTGGCTAAGTGTAATATTCGTATTGTCCACGAGATATGGGATGGATGAACGACACATTGATTTTTTGAAGAACAAGTGTACAACTTTATGTTTTACATAGTACATAAGCGATTTACATAAATAATGTTCAAAACTGCACACATGCACGGGAAAGGTACGTGCAAGACACTTCAATGGAAAGTGTCATCTCGAAAAGTTAGACATAATCTAATAAAAAGTGCACCGGAGATTCTAATTGAAAATTAAAAATTTGCTTCATTTATACATTATGCAGTTTTAACAAATTATTAAAAAAATCCACACTATATATGCTCATCGTGAAATACAAACAAGGGGCGCATCTAGAAATCTGAGATGTCCTGGGCTGAAGAGAAATTATACTAGACTTAAACATTATACGAGTATGCTTTATATGAAAAATGAAAAAATTTACACTAAAAATTTGGAAAAAAAATCAAGTTACACTGGGATTCGGTCCACCATAGCCTATACGTAGATCCTCATCTAATACAAACAACACTATTCTTTTGTAGTGGTTGCACCCATCTCACATAATTTTCATCTAATACAGTAACTAGCCTCTTGTAAACATTATTTATCAGCATTGTTGGTTTATGGTCTTCAGTGCACTTTATAACTTACTTTACATCACCTAATAGGCAAGGACTCATTAGTTGCACGAATTTACTGATGGAATTGAACATATAAAAATGTTTCATGAGCAATGTGTATATTACGTACGCTACAAAACTAGGGTGGAAAATCTTAAATACACTCCATTTTTAAGTAAAATCTAAATGATAAAATTATATATTTAAGTAAAAAGAATGGTAACATATGAATTTATAGAAAAAAAAATCTACTAACATTACTTCTTGAAAAGTGGTGGACAAACCTAAATGTTTGGTGTAAGTAAAATTATTTAAATGTAAACTACGTGTGTGAAAGATGTAAGCCACCTTATAAAAATGTGAATTATGTGTCCAATAAGTAAGTCACGTGATATAAAATATAAATTGCATACATGTATCACTACACGTTGCCACTACGATGTAAACTTTGAATACAATTATAGACACTAATAGTTAGTAAGTCAAATTTTTGTCCACGACTTTTATATTTTTAATATTTAAGAGAAAATATTAATTGTATATGTGACCATTTGCTAGAAGGAAAATAACCTTTATTTTGAGATTGTCCAAAAGGAATTTGACCTTCATTTGTATTATATAGAGTATATGTGAACATAAATATTACGTACGGAGTAGTAATTAATTGAAACTGTGAAGTTAAAATTTATTTAAAACCTTAACTCACAATATTAATCACTCCATTTTTCATAAACGGATAATAAAAATATATTATGAATTTTTTTCCACATGTGGTGACATCACCATATAGAGTGCACAATCTCTCCCACTATAGATACTCCCTCTGTCCCAGAAAATTCTTCCCATATTAATTTGGATCGAAGTTTAAGAAAGTGAGAATAAAGTGGAAATATATGATTGTGGTTGAATAAGAAAAAAGTAAATGAATGTTAGTCACACAATACATTCCAAAAAGGGAAATTAGAAGAAATTTTTGGGACCTCCCAAAAAGGTAAGTGAGAAAAATTTTCAGGCACGAAGGAGGGAGTAATTACTATCATGATTTTCATAATCTATCTCTGACTTAGTTTTAATAAAATCCCTTTAGTACTGTAATTATTAAAAGTAGCATTCAAAAATAAAAAATAAAAATAAAAAATGAATAACTATTATTTAAAATTTAGTCATCCTGATGTACTTAATAGTATAATTACTCATTTTTGTAAACTAACATTCATATTGATTTCTATTATTTGTAGATCATTATTTCTTAGGCTAAGATTTAACTATTATTGTTATAAATATTAATTTTATATATTCATTAAATGCTTCAATAAAGTCATTTTATGTGAGGGAAACTAATCTATTTGACTTCTAACCGTGCTATCTTTACGAGCACGAGCGTAATAGAGGTTAAACTCAAATGTGCATTAGGTGAAATTGAAATGTGCGGAATAAAAAGTACAAAAATGGAATCACATGGTACCTTTCATTCTTCAGTAAATTTCAGTTTCACGTAATGCACATTTCAGTTTCACCTAATGCACACTTTAGTTTCTAAAATATATAGTGTTTCCTAAAACTGCGAAAACCGATGTAACTAAATAAAAACTAAGGAAATATACAGGAGAGGTGACAAATTCTTACCTTGGGTTTCTAATCAAATAGCCACAAAAGAAAGTTTATAGTTCACATTTTAGATTACTGCTTCCTTTTGATATCAACCACAAAAATGTATACACACATATAAATATACACATAATGTCACTGTATTGTACTCATTGTGCTGCACATTTCAATTCAAGCTAATGCAAATTTTGGTTTCATCTAATTCACATTGAATTTCACATAAAACAAATCTAACGGTCTAGATTCATTCTCATTTCTCTCATAAGATCATTTTTTCATTTGAACCTAATTCCACACGACACACACACACACACACACATATATATACACACATAGTATATATATATATATATATATATGTATGTATGTGTGTGTGTGTGTAGTTCGGATCAAATAAAAAAGGGTTTTAACGTGTAAAATAAGCTAAGAATTAATATCACTCATCCAAACTGTCAATCTGATGCATAATAAACCTTATCTAATGCATTTTTCAAATAAATCTTATATCTAATACACTTTTCCATTAGATAATGATTATTCTCCATAAAGCGGAGTGTGTTTCAATAATTTATTTTGAAACCATTGGATCAAATAAAGTCTCTTTCCCATAAAAAGTAAGAACAAATTTGATGCATTTTTTTTTTGAAAGGAAGTCGTCTATATTGATATCATTAGAATCAGGATCGTTACATCAATTTCAAAGTGACCAATACTGACTACAATCTTCACCTTCCAACTACTACTATTATCCCTACGATTAGAAATAGGCACGTTCACCCCTAAAGGAGCAATACGAATCGCTAACCACCAAACGACCTTAATGCAGCTATTGCTGAACAAATAGATCTGTCCACCTCTAACCATATCAAATCTGGCCGACACCTCAGACAACCTATTAAACCTAGCATCATCAATAATATCCAAAAACAAAACGATAACAACGGAGTTCATAATTATCAAACTAAACCTGAATAAAAAGAAATAAAACAAGATATACTGATGGAGCAGTTGAATCCATCCTTCAAGCGTCGTGTTCCAAACCTTAGACTCACAGTTCCTCCATGGAGGTGGTTAAGGAGGGGGCAGATCATCATCCCTTCATCTTCTTCATCCATGACCTTGATCTGCCCGTGTGTCGCCTCCATCTCTTGGCCAAAATACTGCGCGAACACAAACAGTCCAAAAGCGAGTAGCCTCCACATCCCTATCATCCTGATAGCCTCTAATCTAGTGCACTTTGTAATCAAATGCCTGCAGCAGAGTCTCCTTAGAATCAATCCGTCCAAGAATTATTTTGATCAACCCGTTCAAGAAGATTTCCAGACTGGTGCGAAACCCCATCCCTATATACGTACACACAAAATTTTTACCTTGATGGATCTCCGCTCAAGTAAGAAACGGCCGTGATCTTCCGATACTACCTATGAGTGGTCTCGAGTTCGAAACCCACTAGGCACATAAGGGTTTGAAACTTAATGGAGTGAGTTTCAGTCCTAAATAGGACTTTTTAACTACCCTTAAATAAGATTTTGGAAGAATGTGGCTTAAATTGAAATCTCAACATTTAGATGATGGGTAATCCGACAAATAGAATCCTGACAACCGCTGTCTCGCGAACCAGACTCAAAGTTAATCACCTCATTAGAAGCAATATAACTCGTTGATCCATTAGTGGGCACAAATGAGCCAAAAACGGTTACCCCAATTCCAATGTCAACCACATCCAAAACCAATGTCTTACAACTAGGAAAAACAACAGCAAAACCAAATTAAAAATAAACTGAGAAGTGTGAGAAGTAATAAAAATTAAAATAAAAAACATAACGCATTCCTTTAAACAAATCAACAATTTTTTTATTCCTAAAATAGGCCTCATTCTCTTTTGATTAACTATTTGTATTTAGGATTGGATGGCCCATTTCATGTAAGAACACTACTTAACGTTAGAAATGGGAACACTTTTAAACAATGCACATTATGATTCACGAAGATGCACATTTATAATTCGTACATAATGTAGTTAAAATAATGCAGAACTTCAAATGTGCACATTTCTAGTTAAACTAATGCACACTTCAATTGCATATTTTCTGATTTATGTTAGTGCACATTTATGTTTGACATATGATACTCAAATTCAACGTAGAATCATTATCATTTCATCCGGCATGTAGGTATTAAAGCTGATGAACATGCTTCTCTACCATTATTTCGATGACAAGTGCGCTGCAGTTGAAAAGAACATCAGCATGGTCATCCGATTTGCTGAAATTTACAGACCGTATGTGTTCTTCTACGGGATGCGCGTATTTTATTCCCCATCTCATTATCATCCTTTCATGTTTACTTTATAAATTTTTCCTAATATATTACTTATAAGGATGTTTTTACTTGGACGATTTTCAGTCCCAGACCAGACTAGAGGTCTAGATCAAGTTAGACCAGACCAGACCAGATCAAGTCAGACCACACTAGTCCAGACTTGGATGGTTATAAAATACACAGAGACCAGACATTTATCAGACCAAACAAGACTAGTTCAGACAAGACCAGACCAAAAATATTCAGTCCAAGTAAAAACGTCCTATTATTTATATAATGTGTATTCACTGTCAGCCACAACAATTGTAGATTATACATATTGGGTACGGCTATTATCACATTTTGTTTTATATCTTTTGATGGTACAATGGACTTGATTCATAGCCCAAATCCTGGAATAAATATATTTTTGGCTCAAAATATTTCTAGGGCTTACATGGCGAGAGTTTCATGACATATGAGAATCGTCAGCACCATGAGTATTTACTTGAAAATGTGAACATAAATAAGACATTAAATGTAGAAATTCTTATAAGAACATTACGAAATTCTATCATAAATAGACTTCTTATTGAACCGGTTAGGTCTTCTAATACTTATGCAAGATTAAGCCTATAAATATTCCTGTAAGAGATCTGTAAACCTAAACGATCTCTCATATAATAATACTGCTCTTTCACTGCCAATTTACTTCAAGCCATCATTTTATATCTATCATAAGTGGAATGATTCTCCATCACCTGGTACTTTCGTTGAGAGCTATCTCTGGTCATCTTCTTATTTGAAACAATGGCAAGAGCGCATGGTAACAAATGTGGTGGTAAAGACGAATCCAACTTTTGTCCACGATGACGGCTCAACAAGGTACCTCCTTCACCTATTGATTTGACGATTCGTTTGAACAATGTTGGAGGCTCGAAGAACCCGATTGTTGACCCGTCACCGATGTGGATGCCTATTGGTGGTGGTACCATTTAGAGTATGGAGCCTGCTTAGGCGTTGGCGCGTTTGGCAAGTTTCCAGAGGGTGGAGGATGCCCCTCACTATGAGTTTTCAAGGAATATTACCTATGGCTATGACACGACAATGGTTTGTCGCACGTGCACCTTTCATGCCTCCTTTTGTGGAAGCATATGCCTTGTTTGACCACTGCAGAAGGCATTCGCCCCCACAACGGTCTCATGAATCCCACTGTCCATCTCACCCCAGTGATTCGTCCCCAAGTGACTCAATGGTGGAAAGGCTCAGGGGAGGGAGGCTTTCAGTCCATGATCGGCTATCTGGGAGAGACAAGGATAATAGGAGGGCTCCTCTGCTACTGAGTCATTGCACCACTCTGTGTGTGTGGTAGGAAGAGGAGGAGGGAAAATCATTAACATCCCCACTCCCACCGATCCTAACCCCATGGGATCAAGGCACTAATGACCACAACGACCTCAGAAGGAGGCTAGATGACCAAAGAAGAGCCGTGGATGCTCGGATTGACCTATCCCCATGAAGTGAAAATCCTGGAACCCTTTGTTTGAAAGGTCCTGGAATCTCCCCTTTCTCGCGGTTACAAACCTCGTAACCTTGAGGTCTGTTGGGGAAAGACAGTTTCACATCACCGTATCTCCATGTACATGGCCTACATGGTAATGATGGGTTATGAGGAAGCCACCATATGTCGAAAGTTTTTCATCACCTAGACGGACCAACGCGTGTATGGTATGATTTGTTACCGTATAGAAGGATTCAATGCTTTCGGTGTTGGCCAGGGCCTTCATTGCCTGATTCACGAGCTCAAAGGCTCAAAGCAGGATTTCTCCCTCCTCCTAAGGGTCAAACAGGGACTTCAGGAGACCCTGACCTTCCATTTTGGCTCGTTGTAGGGGAGATTCGGTGAAGGTGGATGTCCTGGACGATAAGGTCGCAGTGGCAGTATTCACTAATGCATCGCGATCGGGTGAATTGCATGAGGCATTTGTATGACAACTAACTATTTCAATTGAACAAATGTTTCTCTTCTCTTCTCTCGCAATGGAGAATGATAATATCTTAAACTTCTTTCATATCCAAATAAATCTGGTATCTAATTTTACATCCCACCACACACAAACATATTGGCATAACATAACGTAGGTACCGTCACATTGTGGAGACGAATCTTGCACTCTTACATTTTTCCAGTATGCCTATTTCTTTTTGGTCTTATGCTTTCTAGACAACGGTTTACTTAATTAACAATCTACTTACTAGTTCATCCAAATCTATCTACTCCCCAACTACAATTCAAATATCATTCTTGCTCTACCATGGTCTAGCCATCTCCATCTCACCAATTTATAGCTACATCCCTGAGCTAGTTTGTCACATAGTAATCTCACTTCTACACTCTTGCCTCAACCGTCAAATAGAAGTAGGTTCCCCACGTCTGTTATCAAACTCTCAATAACCTAGTCCCAGTCAACCCTTATCCTCATCCTGCCATCGTTCCTCATCCCCTCTCACTTTGGGCCACAATAACATCTACTTATCCCAAATTATCCTCTCCCTACCTAATTAATCCCACAAATAGTAACATATATGTCACCCCTACTCCAGTGAACCTACAAAAGATTATTCCCATCACAGTTTCTCCCCAAGTTCGTAATCGAGTCCTTAACCCCAAATACACTTGGGGTTGAAAATGTGTCCATACAATCACAACAGTGGAATAAATGCATAGATAATAGTGTTGAATGAAGTAGAGAAGCAAAACGATCTATTAAAGTTATGGTGAATGTTTACAGAGCATATATATTGTTTCTCTTAGAGTGTCGGCAGAGCTATTTCTTTCTCTAGAATAATACGAATGATAATTGTAACAGCTCAAAGACAACTAGTCTTGGATACATACACATATGCGTTGATATCCCAATACTATTCTGTGAATCACTTCTGCCAACTTAGGAAAATTACAGATAACTTTCCTATTATTTAATAAAGGTAAATACATAATTGGGTAAAACAAATAACGGGATCAATAATAAAGATGTTGTTACAGTACAAAGACATACAATAATGAATTGTTCGCAATACAAGATTCCAAACCATCTCCCCCTTTGTGTGCAATCGCATTGTTTGCTCGGTGTATATGTAAGGAGTTCAGAATGATGTATCTCTTAGCAGTAGTCTCCCTGTCTTGATAACTTCTGTTGTGTGTAGAAGGATTTCCTTATGTTCAGTGCCACTTCCAATTAGCAAATTTCATTTCTAAAGTGTATACTTTCATTGATGACATCCTTCATCATCTTGATGATGTGGTTGAAATCGAGCTCTTCATCAGAATTATTGTTTGTTCCCTTTGATATCTCAACTTTTTTGAGCATTCTAAGAATGATGTGAAGAGTTCCATCACAAAATTTAGCGATCTCGCTTTTGAACAATGCTCACTTTCTTCCTTTGTGGTTTTTGTAGATCATTATTGATTCTGGTTCTTCATAGACTGAACACAATGGTAAGACATCGATGTCATAAATATGGTTCTCTAGAGGTGACAGATTAATCTTCCTTTTGTTTTTTTTCATTGGTGATCTGTAAATCATGCACCAAGTAGTAGATGAGTTGTCGTAGCATATGACGTTTAATAGATTCATACCCAAGTCTGAATCTCTTCTCTGGTTTATAGGATACTCTGTATAGATAGAGGATTTGGAGCATGTTTGTTAGCATTACAGTTGCAAAATCAACTTCAAATATCTTCTGCATGTCATCATTGTTCCTGGAGATGGTGATGAGTGGATATTCAACACAAGGTGAGAGCCTGTTACACTCGACATCGATTACACTTTCTACTAGTTTTTTGGATGCTTACTTCATTTATCTTGTCAGTTCCTCTCATACTGGTCCAGCGTGCGCATTCTTTAGCATGTTGAGGTGGGCTATTGCGTCGAGTCCTTGCGGATGTGATAATTTTGGGGTTTTCAGTTCGTCAATCTCCCTCACTCTATCTCTTCTTCTCTAGGTTCTTCTAGCATTTCGCTCCATATTGATGGCCATTCTTCCAGAATGTTTGGAAGTTAGGATGTCTTGGCGATTGCGGATTCAGCAGCTCCGGAGTCATGTAGATTTACTGTTGGTATCACACTAGAGGTGTAGATTTACTGTTGGTATCACACTAGAGGTGGACACCAGTGGATGACCTGAATATGTTAGTGAATCAATGATTAATACATTAGGACTTCCTCCCAATCCTCACATTGCATCTGTGATTGATGAGCCTATGGGAGTTATTGCTTGATCAATGAGATCAGCAGATGGGTTAAGGTGGTCTTTTGGCTAAGATGGTGTGGAAGATGGTGGATCAAAGGGTGTTTGGGTTGATGAAGGTGTTGGGACCTGGATGGATGGTTGTGATGTTGTATCCTATTCGAAAGTTTGATGTCTTTTCTCCCCCTCATAAGAATCTGAGACATTAGAGTTCTTAAGTCTGCATTTTAGATTGTGAGCTTCATCCTTACATGAGGTTTGGTTATTGAGAAGGATGCGAAGAGCTTTGAAATCTAGTGAGGGTTGTGATTCTTTGTTGAGGCGTGAAAGAAAGAGAATTCAAAACTCATGTAATGATATGGTGTCATGGTTAATGAGGTTAGCGGGTGGTGAGTTGGGAATGTTTATGGTTTCAAGGTGTGTGGTGATTGGGTAGGAGATGTGTCGATGGTTGGTTGAGAAGTGGATAGGGATGAGAATGTTGGTTGTTCGATAGCTTGGGTGTGGCCTGGAGTTTGTACAGCTATTGGGACTACAAATTGTCTTTGGTTCACCAATCTTGCCTCTAGGTTCGTAAGACCACGATCGGACTCCTCCTAGGTTATAAAGGAGGAACTAGTTCCAATACTGGCACTTGAGATGTGTTCCATTGTCAAAGCATCAGTGAATATCACCGATGTGTGGCATGCCATAACATATGATGTGTGTATAGGCACAACAGGACTTCCGACCATCATTAACGTATCTATGGTCGTTATAAACTAGTTCGAAGGACCAGTAACATGTGAGTGTGTCCTGGTAGCAAGGAAAAAATGTGGAGATCTAGACTCAATGTGCTTTGATGGTCAGTAGTATGGGGTTATGGGCTATTGACTTTAGAAGTTGGGTCCCAGTGAGATTTTGAAACATCAACATGTTGGGAACCTGATGAGTGGTCTGAGGATGGGGATGATTATGATGTTGCACTCAATTCATCGTCTTCTACCCAGGGACTAACAAGGTCATCCCCAATACCTAAGGGGGGAGTCTGAGGTAAAGTGGTTTCAGGAGAAGTTGTGCTCGAATATGTGATACCAAGTAGTTGAAGAGGATCATCATTATTTGTGCTCGACTATGAATGACTCGTACAAGTAGCTGGGAGTCTTGTATTTTCTTGCTTCTGATCT